ATACGTCTTATACTTAACATATTAAATATATTTTTATAATTTAACATCACTAAAAAACTCACCACTGAGCCAGAGCTGAGGGCCTTTGCCTACGCTTACTGAGGCCAGTGGGAGAGGTCGCTTGGTAACACTGGCCCAGAGCTGTGAAGATCAGAGGATCCTGCAAAGCTGAAGGTCACAAGGTCTTTGAGCACACCTGATAGACTGACCTGACTAAAGAATTGTCTCCTGTTTCCAGCCTGAATGGTTAGCTGTTATTGTTCAATAAACCTCAGAATGATGAGTGATTACCCATAAATCCTGTGTTGCCTTAGCAACAGATTATTGGATCCAATACCAGAACAACATGAGCCATAAGAAGGATGTTTGGTATTAGAATTGGTAGAAAGTACAGGACACTGCTGCCACTCCCACATCAACTGCATGGCTTTTATACTTATCCATAATTTATTATTCAGCTCTGATACATAACAAGTAATTACAAAGACCCTGGCCTGGATCAGATACACCTTAGTCCCTAGCCTGATATCATTGCTCTATCAGTACTTTTGAGACGTCCCTGATAGTAGACATCCCCAATGCAAATTGTCTTTTGATTTCCTGACTGCTGGTGCCAAGAATGTAGACTGCAGAGCCAAACAAGCGGAAATTATTAACAACCTCAGTCCGAGATCTGGATAATGACTAACGATGACAGAAGAAGAATCGATTCCTTTGAGTTGTGGTGCTGGAGAAGAGTCTTGAGAACAGACAGGTCTGTTTTGGAGAGGGTGAAACCAAGTTTCTCCTTGGAGGCAAGGATTTTGAAGTTGTGTTTCACATTCTTTGGACACGTAACCAAAAGAGACTAGTCCTTGGAGAAGGCTGTCATGCTTGGAAGGGTGGAGAGACAGTGCAAAAGAGGAAGAGCCTGGATGATATAGATTGGAGGTAATGGAGGTAGGTGTGTTGGATAGGGCAGGGTTCAAAGCTATCTTGTATACATAGGATCGCCATGAGTCGCAGGTCACTCAGTGGCACATAACAATAACAACGTGATCCACACAGTTGATACCTTTGGATAGTCAGTAAAATACAGGTAAACATTTTTTGTGGTATTCTTTGTCTTCAGCCAACATCCATCTGACATCAGTAGTGATATCCCTTGTTCCACAGCCTCTTCTGAATTCTGACAGTTCTGCTAATATAACTGCAAGTATTTTTAAAATTATCCTTAGCAAATTTTACTTGCATATGACATTAATTATATTATTCAGTAAGTTTCACATTCTCTTGGATCATCTTTCTTCAGGATGGACATGAGTATGGATCCCTTCTAGTTTTTTGTCAAATAGCTGTCTTTAAAATTTTTTTTCACATGGATGAGTGAGTACTTCCTTTTTTATGTTGTTTATTAAAACATCTTCACTGGCATTCTCTCAGTCTCTGGAGCCTGGCTTTGTTGCCATTGTCTTCATACACCTCAGATGTCTTCTGCACCATCAGTTGTTAATATTCTCCCTCTGTTTGGTACAGTGCCTTTGTATTCCTTCTGCTTCCCCCCCCCATGCTTTCCATGTTGTTAATTTCCCTATCTTTGGCATTGGTGCATATAATTGAATAATGTTGTTGAGTATCATTGAGTCAGAATTCACCCATAGCTGACCCTCCAGTGGGTTTTCAGAGGCATTAAATTGCACAACAGATTACCCATAGAACAGCTGGTGGATTTGAACCATGTGCCCTCAGATTGGCAGCACAGCTCCTTACCACTTGACCACCAGAGGTCCCTACAATAATAGTCATTCCTTTAACAGGTCCTCTTGATAGGAGTATGAATGTTAATCCTGACTCTGAGGACATTGTACCCTATCTAGGGTAGATCTTGAAATCTTTTTTGACAAGGAATGAGACAGCATTCCTCTTCAGTTTGTCAATCCCAGCATTGTAGACCATATATTTGTCTGATTCAGAATAGCCAGTCCCAGTCTGTTTCGGCTCACTAATGCCTCGGATGGCTCTCTTCTAGCGTTCTATTTCATTTTGATGACTTTGTTTTCTTAGATTCATGTTCTGCACATTTCACATTCTTATTATTAATAAATAGGGAGCTGTTTTATTCTCATTCTGACGTTATTCCATCCATAGGCTTAAAGTTATTCTCCTTTGAGGAAGCATCTTTGCTCCAGCCATATTTTGAGTACCTTTTAACCTGAAAGACTCATCTTCCAGGCACTGCATTAGATAATATTCTGCTGCTAATTGTAAGGTTTTCACTTGTGAATTTTTCTTTTCAGGAATAGAATGCCAAGTCCTCTTTCTTTGTCGTAGGAAACTTCATTGAAACCTGTCTAGGCTGGGTGACCCTGCTGGTATTTGAAACACCAGTGGCAAAACTTGAAACATTATAGTAGCATGTGGACCACCGCAGTATGCCAGACCGACAGACAAAGTGGTGACTTTTTTTTCCCTTGCTCTTAAGCACTTTTTTAAAAAGTTAATTTTAATGAACATATACAGAGATTTTGGATTTCCATTCATTCATTGTTGCACTTTTCTTTCTTAGACAGTAATGTTTACAGAAGCGGATCAGTAGATCTTTTCCCAGATGCAGCCACAATTCTGATCCCAGCCTTTGAATTAATAGCAGTGTGCCTTTCCCCTTATGGCGCCAGGGCCCCATTAAATAATAACTTAATTTGTAAATGTATGTGAAAATATTTTTTAAATTAGACAGTTTGTTTCTTCATGAGAAATTAAGACACAGATTGAAGTTGCCTTTTTTTTCTTGTGTACCGTTGAATTGGATCTGACTGGCACAGGAGGAGATTACCTCTGCTTCTCCAACAGAACATCTGGTGGATTCAAAGCGTGTGCTTTTGGGATGACAGTGCAGCTTCTTGCCACTAGGCAGAGCTCCCTATATGAAAATATTTTTAATACTTTTTTTCTCCATGGAACAGGAGAAGTATAAGGCTCTCGTCATTTAAAAGTGTTGGATCCAAGGGAGCTCTGGTGGCCTAGTGGCAAGATGCTGCACTGCAATTCCAGAGATATGTGGTTCAAATCCACCAGATGCTCTGCTGGAGAAGGAGGAGGCAATCTCCTCCTGTAGCAGTCAGATCTGATTTGATGGTACATACAAAATTAATACAATAAAAATTTTTTAAAAAGTGTTGGATCCAAGCCAAAAGATTCCTCAGCTTCCCCTGGACACTAGAATCCTTAATATTTTATGGATAAAATTTGGTGTGTCCAGATTGTTCTGCATGTCTCTTAGATTCTATTTAGATCTCCTTATCTTTTGTTAAAAGTTTATGTTATTTTTAAAATGCAATGATTTTTATTATATTTACAACCTTGATTTATAGCTATTCTTCTGTTTTTCACCCTAAAAAGAAATCCCATACCCCTTAACACTTATTTTCTACTTCTCCCTTCTCCAGCTCTGACAACTAAATCTTTTATGGATTTGCCTGGTCTAATATTTTTAATAAATATGGGGGTTTTTTCATGACTGATTTCTTTCACCTACCATAATGTTTTGAAGATTCTTCCATTTTGTAATATATACCAGTATTTCGTTCTTTTTTATTCCTATATAAAATCTATTGTCTATGTAAAAATGCTCATCGAATTGGCATTTGGATGGGGTGCACGTTTTGGCTAATGTAATATAGATAATGCCACTATTCACGTGCATGTACAAGCTTTGTGTGGGCATGTTTTCTCCATTCCCTTGAACCTGAGAATATGAGTCACAGGCCATAATGTCTTGGTGGTGCAAATGCTCATTGAAAAGCTAGAGTTTTTTGTTCAACTAGAGGCACCTTAGAAAGTAAGGTTTGTGATTTATTTCTGAAATATAATTTAATGAAAACTGTGCCTAATGACAACAGGTTATGGTAACTCAGTGGTTAACTGATACTTGTTATTATCTGTCATATTGATTCTGTTGTTGTTTTGTGCCATTGAGTCAGAATCTTCCAGTAGGTTTTCAGAGGCTATAAACTGCATGGGAGGAGATTGCCCATCTTTTTCCCTCAGAGCAGCTAGTGGATCCAGACTCCCTACTTTGGGTTGGCAGTGCAACTACTTACCTACTGAGCCACTAAAGCTCCCTGTTTGGCTCTAATGGGTATGAAATGGGTTTTGATTGGCTTTTCCTTAATAAAGGAGTCTGATGGTCTAGTGGGTAATCAGGCAATTTGAATCCAGCTGTTGTGAGGGAGAAGGATGAACAGTCTCCTCCCATGGGATTTATGGCCTCAGAAAACCCATTAGAGGGTCAGCTGTGAGTCAGTTCCAACTCAGTAGCAAAGCAATGAATTAGCTTCCTTAATGATTAATGATGTAGAGCATTTTTTCATGTGCTTATTGACCACTTGTTTGTCACCTAATTAAATACCAAATCAGATTCTTTGCTTATTTGTATTTGTTTATTATGATATCATGACTTTCACAAATACAGCTTTGGGAATCTATGGGGCATTGTACCCTGTTTTATAAGGCCACTGGTCAGAATCAACACCATACTGTTTTGTTTGTGGTGGTGGTGGTGTGTGCCATAGAGTCAGAACCAATCCATAGCTGACCCTCCAGTGGGTTTTGAGGGACAGTTAACGGGAGGAGATTGTCATCCTTTTCCTGCGGAGCAGCTGGTGGACTCGAACTGCTTGCCATCAGGATTGCAGTGCAGCTCCTTGACACTAGGCCACCAGAGCTCCCTATTGTTTTATTATAGTCTTTGAAGTTGGGAAATATGACTCTTCTAACTTTAGTCTTGTTTTTCAAAATTATTGTGATTATTTTGGAACCTTTGTACTTCCATCTGAATTTTAAGATCAAGTTTGTCAATTTCTACCTAAAAGGACTGGAATTTTGATGGAGATTGTGTTGAACTTTTAGTTTACTTTTAGAAGGTATTGCTATTTAACAATATGTAAGTCCACCGTCTCATGAACATGAGTTGTCTTCTAATTATTTAAGTTTTGTTCCTTTTAAAGAAATTACTGTTATTTCATCCTATTTGTGCTATATTAATAGGAATTATTTTCTTAATTTTGCATTCAGATCATTCATTACAAAACCCCACTGCTTTTGAGTAGCTTCCAGCTCACAGAGACCGTAAAGGATAGATTAAAAATGCCCAGGGTTTCCAAGGCTTTCAATCTTTATGGAAGCAGATTACCATATTTTTCTCCTATGTAGCTACTGGTGGATTTGAACCACTGACCTTTCAATTCACAGTCCATTATTTAGTCCCTTGGACTAATAGAGTGCCTTTGTTTATTACTAATATATAAAAATACAGTTTTTTTTATATATATTCATCTTGATTGCTGGAACCTTTTTATTTTCACTAAGTTTTGTTCCTTTTAAAAAGATATAAAAATATTCCTTTTGTACTATATTAATAGGAATTATTTTTCTCTCGAGCAGTTTACCACCTCTGTAAACCTGCTCGAGGGTCAGCTTTAAGTTGGTTCCAACTTGATGGCACACAACAACAGCAAAAACAATAATCTTTCAGTTAGCAGCTAATCTTTCAATTATGCACTAAGTGGAATTATAATTTTGTGTTTTCTGGAGGATCAAAATGTGCTGTATTAATACTGTTGGCTCTTAAAATGCAATCTTACTTTAATAATGTATTGTTAGTTTTCCTTTATAAAACGTAACACACAGTAGTAGGCTTTGGATACAAATGTTTTAATTGAACGTGATCTAATAAGTGCCAGAAATAGTGCCAAGTACTTTTAATATACCATCTTATTTAATTCTCTACAATAACACAGAGTATGGAGGGCATTATCCTCATTTTCTTGGTAAGGAAACTGAGGCCCAAGGAGGTATTTTGACTCATGTGATGCCAGACTCAGTGCTCTTTAAAAGCTCTAAAAAGTTTCCTTTTCAAGGAGAAAATTTCTATTAAATGAAATCTTATGTAAAGCATTTGTTACTTTCTGAATAGAAACCCTAATAAATGTTAAGACAGTATTTTTTTAAACATCTTTGCTAAATCAGACATCCGTAGTTTTGGATTCATAACTGTATGAATAATTAAAATAATGATTCCTTTTAATTAAGGGGAGAGAAGAAAAAGCCAAAACATTTTGTTTTTGTCTGCTCACACTGCAAATAAGCATTCATTGTAAGAAAGGTGACCCTCTTAATTTTATTTTACCAATTTAATAGTAAATGTGGAACGATAAGAAACAACAACAACAAAAAAACCCCATAACACACGAAAAAGAAAGAATGAAAAAGTAAATGTGAGGTTTCGGGAGCCCTGTTGGCACAGGGATTAAAGCGCTCAGCTGTTAACCAGAAGGTGTGAATTTACCAGCCACTCCTCGGGAGACAGGTGAAGCATCTCCTCCTGTACAGATTTATGGCCTTGGAAACTCTCGGCAGCAGTTCTGTTCTTCGTACAGATTTGCTGGGAGTTGGAATCAGTCAAATGGCTTTGGTCTGGTTGAGTGTGGGGTTTGGTCACTTAGAAGTTCAGAAGTTGACTCCATCTGTTTTTGCAGTTTCACTGTGGTTTTTTGTTGGTTTTTTTTTTTTAGTTTCGCTGTGTTTTTATGGGGTTTTGTTTGTTTGTTTTTTTTAAAGAATCCAGTTGCTGCTGAATGTATTCTAGAAAAACAGGATAGAATCTGCCCAGACTTCCAGCCACACAGCTCCGGGTCTGAACCTTCCCTGTCTCGACAGCGACGGCAGAAAAGAAGAGAACAGACTGGACACAGTGGTGGGAAGAGGCAGGTGGGTCGTGATTTCTTTGGAATAAGTCCTTGATCTGTAGTTTGGGAAGTAAGACTGGATAGGTCTAAGTAGATTTCTATGTCAAATGACTAACACAGCACAGAAGAAATGCGAGAAGCCATATGAGACGCCAAATTCCAGTTTTTAAATATCAGTGAGTTAGTTGGAAACAGAGTAAGGATTTTACCTTTGTCGCAAGATGGATGGATCATTATGAGAACTAAATCAACAGACTAATGAGGGTAAATCTCTCTTCTGTGTTATATTAAAGAATACTTTTCCCTTTACTCTGCACAGATGCTGACACTGCATTTTCTGAAGTAGCTTTCATAGACTCCCCTCTCTCTTTGCTACTTAGATGGTCCTTTACCTTTAACAGTTTCTTTTTTAAAAACTGTAACACTTTAAAGTTGTTTTTTATAAAATTTTTATTTTTTTTAGTGTGTGTGTGTGTGTGTGTGTGTGTGTATGTGTGCTGTCAAATTGGATCTGACTGATACAGGAGGAAATTGTCCCTCCTTCCCCGGCAGAGCATCTGGTAGATTCAAACCATGTGCCTCTTGGATTTCAGTGCAGCTTCTTGCCACTAGGCCACCAGACCTCCCCAATACTTTAAAGTTTTAAGAGCAAAATACTGACTGAGTCATAGGGGACCTAACTGGCAGGAGAACTTTGAAAGTGACTATATGAAACACTGATAATATGATGTTGTGGTGGTGGTGTACCCTAGAGTCAGAACTGATCCAGGTTTTCAGAGGCAGTTAATTGCATGAAAGGAGAGTGTTCATCCTTCTGCTGTGGTGCAGCTACTGGCCTGGAACCGAGTGCCTTTGGGATTGCAGTGCAGCTTCTTGCCACTAGGCCACCAGATTTCCCTGATAATACGATGTTGTTGTACCGTCAAGTTGGAACCAACTTATAGCTGACCCTCCATGGGTCTTCAGAGGCAGTTAATTGCACAGGAGCAGACTGCCCATCCCTCTCCCACAGAGCAGCTGGCGGATTTGAACTGTGTTCCTTTGACATTGCAGTGTAGAGTCTTACCAGTAGGCCACCAGAGCTCCGTGTGATAATATGATATTCCTCTTTTTCTTAAGTTCCAAGAGGTTTCTTCTCGACCTTTGCCTTCTTGCCCAATTGTTGGGAAAACGGAAGTCACGCCAACACACAAGGATTCTGAAAACCAAATTGAAGTCGTCACTGGGCCTGTGAGCAATTCAAGGAGCAGTGAAGTCTCATCATCAAAGGTTTGTGGGAGCGTATGTTGGACACCTTCATGTAAAATTTTGAGGTTGTAAAATTCTGTGCTTTTGATAAAGTTTTGTAGTAAAACAACTTAACTGTACTTTTTTTGCCAAACTGCATGGATAAGTTCCTGGTTCTCAGCAAAACCTTTGATTGAAATGTACAGATTGTGTTGTTTAGGGCTAGTTACTTCCGCTTGAATTGCAGTTAATGAAGGAAACCAGAATATGTTTTCATATAGGTTTCCAGGTATGAAGGTTGAGATTTTTCTTAGCAGTGGCTGTAAGTTCAACGTGGACTGGTCTAAAATGGACACTCCTTTGATATCCAGTGAAAGGCCTTTTCCTGTAGTGCTGATGATGCACATGTTCTACAGATAGTCAGGAGAAATGTAGTAAGTGACTCTGTGACTTTCTTTAAAAGGACCGACCATTATCAGCAAGAGAAAGGAGACGACTAAAGCAGTCCCAGGAAGAGGTGTTCCCCTCAGGTAAAGTTGTCCTTTCCCCTTCATGTATTGGGAGTTGAGGTGGACAAGCATGCTGATTCTGAGCACCAAAAATATACCCTCAACACCAGACAAACTTATTTGTCAAGTCATTATCAATTCCAACTTGTGGAAACCCTATAGGACAGAGTAGAACTGCCCCATGGGATTTACAAGACTGTACTCTTAAGAGGAGCGAGCTCTGGTGGCCTAGTGGCAAGAGGCTCTGCTGCAATTCTGGAGGCACGTGGTTCGAGGCCATCAGCTGCTCCGCGGGAGAAGTATGGGAAGTCTCCTCCCAGGCAATTAACTGCCTCTGAAAACCTGCAGGAGGGTCAGCTGTGGGTCAGTTCTGACTCTACAGTACACAGTACAACAACAATCTTTCTCCTGCAGAGTGACTGGTGGATCCAAATGGCCAGCTTTCTTTTCAGTTAGCATGCAAATACTTAACATCCACACTTCCAGGGCTCTTTACAGTGAGGTGCTAAGAGTTTTCAGGTGTCCATAATTCATTTTCAAACTTAGAGTTTTTTTAAACTTTGTTGGAAAGCTTTGAAAGTTAGCATAGGCTACTGGATCTGGAACAGGTATCATCAGAGGAAAAGAGATGGAGGGCTGTGAGTAGCAGTGACTTCTAGGAGGATTCAGACTGGAAACCAAGTGAGAATTTAACTTGTTTCCATATCCATCATCTACAGGATAGAGAAGTGCTCTCCTCTCAGGAGCAGAGAGGAAGCAGAGATAGTGGTGCTGCCCTGGGTGGACGGAGGCCTGTGATCATTCCTATGGCTCATCTAAAGAGGACACTGGCTCTGTCTGGTCACTGAATGCTGACTGTGTCTCAGGCATTATGGCAGGCATCTTAAGGACACTATCTAATTTCATATTTATGTACTGTCAAAGAATAGGAGCTGAGGAAACTGAGGTTCAGAGGGGTTGAATAATGTGCCCACCGTTTCAGGACTTATAAGAGTCAGAGCTGAATTTGAACTGAGGGGTCAAGCACCAGAGTGTTGATAAGTATGCTGTCTGTTATTTCTGAGCTGGACCTTGCTGATTTCTTCCCCACACTGTGCAAAGCCTCCTTTGGTTAAGGCCGGCCCACCATAACAGTACTGGGGGTGATCACTTTTTCAGGCCCTCTGGTGAGGAGAGCGTCCCTCAGCGCAGCGGGGCCAGAGAAGCCTCGGGAGAGAGACCAGCCCCTCCCTGCCAGACGTGCGTCTTCCGACTGCAGCGTGACTCAGGTACCTCACACACTCCTAAGGGGAAAGGTAGACACGTCTGCACTTGGCACACTTAATACCAGAACTCAGAGCTTATAAATGTCAGTGATACAGTGAAGACTGTAAATGTCAGCATCGTCTGTTTCTGGGAAAGGGTTGGCTCAAGCTTCACCTTTCATTCTTGGTGAATGATAATTCACCGAGGAACTGGTAAGTAATAATTAAAGGGATGACATTTGACCCAGTCTTGCTTGCTTTTTACTATCAAGTCTGACCCTCGAGGGGGTTTTGGAGGCTGTAAACTGCACAAGAGGAGATTGCGCATATTTCTCCTGAGGAGCTTCTGGTGGGTTTGAACTACCAGAGTGGTGCTGCCTTTTGGGTTAGTAATGCAGCTGAAACCTTTCTAGTCTTTAAAACAAGCCTTCCTAAGGGCCTCCACTATGCCACACTTTCATTATTCTGCCACTTTACCAATAAACCCATCTGCTCAGCCAGATTTCAGTCTCACTTGCTTATTCCTCAAGGAGTTTCGTTTGTGTCAAAATAGACACAAAGGATAAGGTAGAGTTGCCTTCTGGCAGCTAACTAGGTGACTCTAAGGTTTCTAATCCTTGTTTACCTTTCTGTGTGATAACATCTTAGAGAAGATGAATCATTTTTCTGTATTCTGATTCCTGACGTTATATATAGATGTGTATTGTTATTTTAAAAATGGATATTTTCTGCTCTGGGAAGTAACGAAGGTTTATTTCTTTATAAAATGTTTTATTATTTAGTTGTCTTATTATTTAAATTTTCCCTTCCATCTTTCAAATTCATAAGGCTTGTGTGTCAGTGTGTCATCAAGTGATCCTTTAAAGAAGATTGACAAAGGGCCTCAGATATGAACAAACTGTGATTGCCTTGATGTAGAGGCAATTTAGTATACTCTCAAATGCCAATGATCTTAAATCATGCCTCTGCCTGTGAGATGGAGTATCTGAACTAGTTATCCACTGTTTCCTAGAAAGGAAATTTTTTCCTAGAAATTCCTTTCTTCTAGAAAGGAAAGTTCTCCTAGGGCCTTATAAAACTTGTGAACTGTTGGGTGAATTGGGCATCATTTGGGCAAATTAACTTCAACATTTATATATATTAGTTTCTCCAGCTAAATTGCCTTGGATGCACACTGCATCAGACAATGCATCTAAGACTGTTCTACATATTACATTCCGGCTTTGTTGTCATGTGGAATTTTGTTTTCTTAATCATTACTAGGAGAAGAAGCTGATCCGTTGTCTGTCTGAGGAGGAGATAAGTTCTTCTACAAGTTCAACTGATAAGTCAGATGGGGATTCCAGAGAAGGGTTAGTTCTTTTCTTTTTCTGTCTCCTTTCATAAACTATTTCTGTTTCAGTAATCTCAGATGTACATTTATAGTAGTGGTCATACCTATAGTACCCTCATTGATGGCAACGTAAGTGGTTTGTTATCGATGCTTAAGCCAGATCTCTCTTTTAATTTAATTATTATTAAATTTTATTAGTTTTAATGAACATTTACAGAGATTTTGGGTTTTCATTCATTCATTGTTGCACTGTTTTCTCTACCCTCCT